TATTTGCGCCAATAATAATACTAATTAGTTAAGAATGATGATCCTGAATAATTCATTCAATTTACAGCATTACTTGGTATATGTCTATTTATTTTAGACTTCTTTTGGATTGGGGTACGTCGGAACGAGGCGGAAGTTTTCGTTGATTTGAAAGGAGTAGAACAGACTTATTTGCTTTGGCCGGCAATGGGGACGTATACTATACCAGAGCCACACGAATGCGTCGCAGTTTGGTAAATACTATCTTTATTATATATATATATATATATATATATATATATATATATATATATATATATATAATTCAAATTATACACTTATTTACTTAATTTTATTTACTCACTCATTATATTATAATATATCAAATTTATTTTTATATTATTATCTGCATATATGTTTGATAGTGAAATAATCTTCATGCATTCATATATTCATTCATTCATTCATTCATTCATATTCATTCATATTCATTCATATTCATTCATTCATTCATTCATTCATTCATTCATTCATTCATTCATTCATTCATTCACAAGTTTAACATGATTTTAAGCTGCTAAAACTTATAATGAAAATTGTGAAACTGTTATATTGTTTACGAATGGAAAGTATGCTCTAAGTGTATTTTCTGGCAAACTAGAATTATCATCTTTAAAGTTGTCTATTTAAAACTTTTTAATTGAATGTTGGGACATCTAAATAATAAATAAGTTGAAACTCGGTTACTTGTTGCGTGCGCTTTTGATAAGATTTTTGTTTCAGTGATCAGACTTTGGTAAATACTATGCCAAAAACATTGGCATGTCTGTCGATCATATCTGTATTAGGAAATGGTGTAATAATAATTTTAAACAAATATTCATTTTGATTTACAGATAAATTAAATTTGCCATGTGACTTGATACGTATAATGTTTTTAGCTTGATGTTATGTTTTTTGAGTACTGACACCCTTTCACCTAGACGTGTGTAAAAACACATTGCCTATGTAAATTATTATTTGAAAACATGTAATCATTATACAGGACATACAAAGGTAATTTATGGCCTTACTACTGGAGAACGTACTCCTGTACATCGCCACAGGGTTTCGTGTGTGAGTATTCGTCTGAACCAGAAGACGATGGAGACGAAGACTGGGACGACGAGGGACAAACTGGAAGGTACCGTGTGTATCATGACTCAACTGACTGGCTAACAGCCAGAGGTTTGTGCCAGGAACGAGGCGGCGATCTCGCGTCGGTTGCCAACGCAGATGACCAGGCAGCTATAGTGCAGAAAATTGGCGTAAACAGTTGGACATACCGTATGTAATGTCAAATGTGGCTATATGTAACACCATTTTTGTGTAAACTAGTCTTTGATATGTAATTATCACTGTCGCTACAAATCACAATGCTTGTTGCAAACACACACTATCGGTGATGTTTAATACGGACACGTATATAATTAATACATATGTAAATAGTAAATGATCGGTGATTTAATAAACATTTTCATTCAAAGGTGGATTCTGGATAGGAGCTCACCGGGAGGAATGGGCAGGAGACTTTTTAAATCCAGATGGATCAGTCATCACTTACAATAATTTCCAGTACACGCCGTGGAGTGGATATCGTTCCGCCTTCATCAAGTAATAATTCGGTTTTTCTAAGTAGTCCTTACCCATGGTTGTTCGACTAATTGAACGTGATCGTTAATAAATAAATGACATTTGGTATAGATAAAGACATTCTACAAGATATTCGATAAGTAATTAAATTGGTAACCGATCGTTTTTTCACAAATAGAAGATAGTATTTAATAAAAAAAAAATAATTCGAAAAGTTGTGTTTTTTTTAAATGAAAGAATTGTATTAACTCTTTGATTGACATCGTAATTTTAGAGTCAAACCTATACAGAATTTTTTGTTTTTTACAGAGCGCTTGGATTTGGGCCATCTTTCGGCAAATGGGATGCCAGCTATCCCAATGTGTGGAGATATTATGTTTGTGAGTTTGATGAATAACTGGTGCAAAGACGTCATGATGGTACGTTTATTTACAAACATGACAATTCACTTTCGAGCATTTTAAAAAAGTTGGAAACCACAACTGATGTCTTGTCCGAATGATAGTGCGCATGCGTTCATCAGTCTTACGACTCATTGTGATATCATCAATATATTATTAACAAGTAATTACTAGTAGTGCTGAAACCAAATATTTCCACTTGTTCACGAACATTGTTGAACAAAACTTTCCATTGTTGTCATCATTTGGGTGTCCTTATTTACGTACTTCGTTTTGTTTCTTTTATTTTTATCTATTCTCAGCACGTATTGGTATTTGTGTCGTTATACCACGTATTTAATACACACTGTTTGTACAAAGTATATTGGAAAAAAAATGCACATTAAAATATTACGAGTAGATATATTATGCGTGGCATGCGTTTATATATTCATATTTACATCATTTTCACAGTTACAAACACAAATAATATACTTACACGTACTTCTACTATTATGTATCGACTACTCGTTCCTTTGACGTTGACTTTTCTGTTTTATTACAGCATGGGAACCGATTAATGCGCAATCAATTAATAATTACTCGGCATCAGAAGATAAAGACGATATTCATTCAGTTTTTATTTATTTATTTAGTTTGTGATTAATAAATATATGCAATATATATCTGTGTAATATTCATTTAATTTCCGGACACGTGAAATCGAACATATAGAGTATAATATCGACTCATTTTTATATACGTATATTCTCATTAGAATGAAACTATTCACTTCAGCTGTTAATATAGCAGATCATACAGTATGTACAATATCATCTGTACTCCGTGTACACTTGTTAGGGGGTTATACAAATACATGATTATCTCTCCCCTTCTTGGACTCTAACACACGACATATGTCACTGACTGTTGAGAAAGTACATTTGTTGCTCAACCAAGCTTGAACAAAAACCTCAGAGCATATCACTTTTCCAATAAGACTTTCCTCCCACATACTGTTAAGGTTTCGGTGGAATGAGATTTGTTATCTTTAACTGTGAACAATCAGCCACTTTTATACATCCGTGTTCGTACGAACGGTGTTTTCTTCGTACCACCAAATAACGTGTCGTCTAGAGGTAC